TCAACCATCGGACCTCCGGAAGCTTAATTATGTTTATGCCGTTGTTTCTTCTTCGGGATTTATGGGGCGCACAAGGACATAATATATGTTGTGTCCTCCTTGGAGGCGTGCGTCTGACCAGGTCAAACAGCACAGCCATAGTCTAGTATGTATCGTCACCCCGGCGGTGTGGCCAGAAAGCGCCCGCGCAGCGGAGCTCGTCCCGTTGAATTTCTGAGCGCGCGCGTCGCCCTAAAGTACTCTGTGTCCCTCGATAAGTCTGGGTCCCCGAACTACTGGTACCCCCTGGACTACTGGTACCCCTTCCGTACACCCCCCCGGACTACAGGTACCCCCCCCCCCGGACTACAGGTGCCCCCCCCCCCCCCCCCTGAACTACAGGTACCCCTCCCAGGGCTACAGGTACCCTTCCCCGGGACTACAAGTACCCCCGTTACGTGCGTGCGCGTGCGCGTGACGCGTGCAGTCCCGCGCGCGCAGACACCCGCGCGCCGAAACCCGTGCGCGTGGAGCCACGCGTGCTTCGACGAATAACAATCGCGCCCCCCGGACTACAAGTACCCCCCCGGACTACAGGTACCCCCCCCCCGGACTACAGGTACCCCTCCCCGGACTACAGGTACCCCTCCCCGGACTACAGGTACCCCCCCCGGACTACTGGCCCCCCCCCCCGACTACAGGTACCCACCCCAAACTACATGTACCTGCAGAACTATTGAGGGACACGGGACACAGAGTACGAGTATGTTTTTGGCTGGAGCCGGTGGTACGCCACGCGCAGTTCAATTCGGAACGTTTGACACTCAACTCACGACGCATAGATTGGAACCGTAGGTCTGGCATGATGCATGTCGCCCGCACGCAGGCCGGCACGTGACGAACTAGCACGCAACGGGTTCAAGCAAGACGTTCTGAACACTGTGCGCCTTGCGCTTTCACACGGGAGTGCGAAGGCAGCAAATTGGGGTTGCCACAAGGAGCTGATCTTAGGTCGGGCAAGTCCCCCTACAGGCGGATTTCGGACGGAAAATGCAAGATATCCCAAACATGATCAAAAACAATCAAATATACGAAACAAATCGTCCCCAGAGTACTTTGTCACTATTTGTGAATATTCCTCCTGTACAGGGACACGCCCGACTTAAAGCTGATGGGGGATCTCCTCGTGCAACTTCTTCATCAACCTGTCGCGCTGGACCTGCCCAACCCGCGCGCCGCGTGCGCGGCAGAGCACAGCAGGGCAAACTCACGCTCGGACAGCTAAGTGCAAGGCCAAAGGTCTGTAGCTTGAGCAGGGACCGACCGTCCCGGCATTCCTGTAGGCCTACCACGACATGTTCCCAGAACCCGCAAATGTTCTCAGAACAAAAGCGATGTTCTTAGAACAGAACCTATGCGTTCAAACACGACAGTCCCAACCAGAAATGTTCTAAGAACACTTCGTTGGAACCACAAAAGGTTCTTAGAACATTGCATGGTAGGCCAAGAGGCGAGCCAAGACGCTTCGCCACTGCTCGAGGAGCAGAGCGAACCAGACCGGAGGCACCCCCGAACGCGCACCGAAACGCGGCCAGGCCGAGCAGCGCCGGGCGGGCCAAGGCCGCTCTGGTGCCAGGGGTCGCTCTGGCCTCGGCGAGGCGTCAAACACCCGGAGACCGGCCGCCTCGCTTCTTCTCACCGGGCCCCTGGAAGTCCAGACCCCTTGCCCAGGGCGAGCGCTTCATCCTGAGCGTTGCTTTTTCAGTCCCGGGCGCCACACAGAGGGGGAGATGATGAGGATCCGAAGATGCACGGTTTCTGCTGTCGGCGTCACTCTCGGGCATCACCGACACGGCTCTCGCACACTCTTCCCGGGTCCTTGACATCGTGACTTCTTCACGACGGCTCGCCCTGGAGGTATCGATCCCTTCCCCAGGGCCCTAGGGCCAGCTTTTCATTCGGGGATGGACAGAAACCCCTTTAGTAAAACGTGGTTTAATGAAAACGACCCAAGGCCCAAACCTGGCGGGCGCAAGCCGGAAAAATGACGGCATCGGCGCCCTCTCGAGAACCGAAAACGGACAGTTCACTAATCGACGTGTCACCGTTGGGAGTTCTGTCCACCCCCGATTCATCCTGAGCCGTTTTCTGACGGGACGAAGGCCCTGCGAGGGCCCCGAGGGGCTGCAGACTGCCGCTCGGCGCTCCCGTCCGAATGGGTATCCTTTAATCCATCCCCATCCCCATCACCACTGGCACTGCCCTGGCCCCACTGACCGATTTACCCCCCTAGATGAGTGTATACGCTGCTATCCTCGGTTCTCGCGGGGCATATCCCCACCTGGGGGCGTCGGCTGGTGGGGCTCAGATACCATGGCCCAGCGGGGCTGGGGACGGTTAATCGATGCTGACCAACGAGCCCTCTGGGCAAAGCGAGCTCAGCAAGCGAACGCAATGAGCCGCTTGGCGATCTGAAGACCCTAATTAGGGCTCCCAACTTCGCGTTTCGCGCTCCGCGAAGCGCGAATAACTTCGCGCTCTCGCGCCGCCCCCCCAAAGGGAGGAAAGGAGGACGAGGAGGAAGGGGAGAAGGAACGAGGACCGCGAAGCGCGAGGCACGAATAACTTCGCGACCTCGTGGGAGACCTTGAAGACCACCCTGGGAAGGTATTCGCCCCACAGAGTTGGAAATGAACCGCCTCCGTGGCTCCCTTCGGGTGGTGCCGAGATGTCAAAATCAGGCACCTTGCACCTCTGGATCCTCACCGTGCTCTCCACGTCGGTGGCCCTTTGGAGCGGCACACCGGATCGGAGATCGTTCACCTAGAAGAAAAAAAAATAAAACTTTTGGCGCGCCGCGCGGATTTCTTGGATCCGCGCCAGGGGCGGCGCCGGAGGCGCCGCCAGGGGGGCCCAGCGCGGATCCAAAAAATCTGCGCGGAGCGCCAACAGTTTATGTTGATGTTTTTTTGCCTTCTTCGATCATAACCGGATCCTCACCACGCTCCCCGTCTGCATTGCATGGCTGGTGCTGGGGCGTTGGAAGATAAATGGGGGGGTGCGAAGAGAAGTGCACTGGTCGTCGGTCGTGTCCCTTTTGGGCTCCAGGGCCCATTCTTTTCTTCGGGACTTCCGGTGGCCCTAGGACGCGTGCAAGGTCGATCAGTTACTTGTGTCACTGAATGCGTACTTGACTCAACTCAGGGCCCCTTTCGGGCACAATAGGTGCATCTTGCTTCACCGCCCAATTCACCGCCCCCCCATTACGCAACGCCTGAGAAAGCAGGAATCGTGCATCTCCAGATCCTTGCCACGCTCCCCGTCTGCATGGCCGACTCCAGAGCCCCCTTGGCACGTCGGCTGGACCCGTCGTTGGGGGAGATTTGGGCCGTCGGCGTCCGCTGGGCGCCTGCCGATGGCAAGAAAGAAACGCCTCGACTCGTGGAGCAGGCAAGATCCGTAAGCATCGAACGAGCGCGCGCGGAAGGGGAGCCGCCTGGGGCCGTCAAAGACTGGCTCGGGATGGAAAAAAAACGGCCCCTGGGAGGTGGGGAACTGGCCGAGTCGGCGGTGGACAAACCTCCCTTTTATGAAAAACACCCTTTCGTGACAACGGCCTGAGACCGAAACCGACGGACCCGGACCCGCAGAAAGGACGGCCGAGACGCCCTTGCGCGAACCGAAAACGGCCAAGTCGCTAATCGACGTGTCAGGGTAGCAGGTCTGAGAGAGAGAGAGAGAGAGAGCGAGAGAGAAGCTGAAAGGAGAGGGGGGGACAGGGAGAAAGGGAGGGAGGGGGGGGGCGAGGGAGCGAGGGAGGAGAGAGAGAGAGAGAGAGAGACAAGCTCCCACCGTTTTTTTTCACGCCGCGATCGTGTCTGCGCCCTCTTCTTCGGCGTCCGACGGCGGGCGGCGACGCGGCGTAGCCATATGGGGTCGGCCGGCGGCCACCAGCACTGGGCCGAGGCGGCGGCGCGGGCTCAGGAGCGACGTCGGCCCCGGCCGTGCGCGGGGAAGTAATGTACACGCACGCGCAAAGAGGAGGAGGAGGAGGAGGAGGAGGAGGAGGAGGAGGAGGAGGAGGAGGAGGAGGAGGAGGCCGAGGAGGGAGTGAGGGTAGCTAGCTCAGCCGCCAACATTTCGGCTGCCCCACACGCCGACTGCTTGAAACTCTGGCCCCTGCCAGGAACAATAAATCGCTGGCCACAGAAGGAGGCGCAGAAGGAGGGAGGAGAAGCCGAGAGACGTGCGCGACCCCACTCAGCGCAGCCAGTGAAACAGTGCAATGCCGATCTAAGGGTAGCAAGAGGAGACAGAGAGAGAGAGAGAGAGAAAGAAAGAAAGAAAGAGAAACGCGAAAGGAAGGGGACAGGGCGCCGGAGAAACGATATCTAATGGACGCCAGGTCACAGCCAAGGGCTCCACTGGCGGGCCATCCACACTCGGACAGCACTAACAGTCCCAATCGGGAGCAAGAACACTGAAGAAGGGGATTGGTAGGACGATCGTGGCGCACCGAAGCCACTAGCGGCGTCCACCCCCGCGGAGCGGAGGGGCAGAGGCTTCTGAGTGGGCGGGAGCCCCGAGCTGGGCAAAGAGCCCGTCTGCACTATATGAATTAAGTCACGCGCGACCGATCGACACAGGAGGAGAACGAAAAGCAAACGCGGGAGGCGAGGGGCGGGGGGACGGAGCACCGCACCACTACCATCGGACGCCATCCCCCCAGAGGGGGCCACAAGCCCCTGGAAGGCAGGACCGCCCCCGACGACGACGACGACGACAACGACGACGACGACGACGACGACGACGACGGCGACGACGACGACGACGACGACGACGACGACGACGACGACGACGACGACAACGGCGGCGGAGGCGGCGGCGGCGACGACGACGACGGGAGAAGAGGGGAAGAGGAAGGAGGGAGGGGGCCGCAAGACAGGCGAGAGGGGAAGAGGAGGGAGGGAGGAGGCCGCAGCAGCAGCAGGAGGGGGGGGGGAGAACGGAGCGATCCCCTGCCACCCCAGGCGCGGGGCCCCCGGGGGGAGGCGGTGGGGCGGACCAAACGTGCCACTCGCGGACCGGTGCTGGCGTTGTCGCTGGTGTAGGCGCTTGCGTCGGTGCCGGCGTCGGCGCAAGTGTTGATGCTGGTCTCGGTGTTGGCGTCGGCGCTGACGTAAGCTCCAGCGTGCGCTCCTGGGACACCGGTGAGCCGCGCAGCTCACCGGTGCGCTGGTGTCGGGGCTGGCGTCGGCGCTGGGGTGGGCGCTGATGCTCGTGCTGGCGTAGGTGCTGGCGTTGTCGCAGGTGCATGCGCTTGCAATGCTGGCGTCGGTGCTTGTGTCGATGCTGGCATCGACACTAGCATGTTTGCTGGCGTAGCGTTGGTGCTGGCGTCGGTGCCGGCGTCGGTGTTGGACGTCGGAGTGGGGGAGTCGGGGTTGGTGTTGGGACTGGTACTAGCGACCAGGCTGGAGGGAACACCGGTGAGCTGGGCAACTCACTTGCTGCTGGCGTCGATGCTGGCGTCTGCGCTGGTGTAGGCGCTGGAGTTGGTGCCAGCGTAGGCGCAGGCCCAAGTACTGGCGTCGGTGCTGGTGTCGGTGCTGACGTCGGCGCCATCGTTGGTGCTTGCGTCGGTTCTGGTGGAGGCGCTGGCGTCGATGCTGGCGTCGGTACTGGTGTCGGCGCTGACGCAGGCGTAGCGTCACACGATAAGTGGGGCAGAATTCCGTGACGCACCAACTCCGTGACATTTAGACTCTGCGCCGGATCCGCAGGAGCTTCAAGACGCATCGAGCATGTCATGAATTTCTGAGCCAGCATTCGCATCTGCAAGTCAGGACGGAACGAAAATGCCACGAATTTCGGTGCCAAAAAAGTGTGATGCTGGCGCTGGCGTCGGCGAAGGCGTGTAGGCGCTGGCGTAGGCACCAGCGTGCGTTAGTGGGACACCGGTGGCCCGGGTAATTAGCTTACCGGCGCGCTGTCGTCGGTGGTGGCCGCAGCGCTGTATGCGCTGGTGCTCGTGTTGGCGTCAGTGCTGGCGTCGGCGCTGGTATAGGCGCTTGCGTTGGTACCGGCGTCGGTGCCGGCGTTGCTGCTGGTGTCGGTGCTGGCGTCGGCGCCGGCGTAGAAGCAAGCGTCCGCACCTGGGGCACCTGGGACACCAGTGCGCTGGTGCCGGCGCTGGTGTCAGCCCTGGTGTGGGGACTGGCGCACGTGCTGGAGTCGGTACTGGTGTCGGCGTTGGTGCAGGTGCTTGCGATAGTCCCGGCGCAGGCGCGGGCGTTGATGCTGGCGTCGGTACTGGCGTCGGCGTTGGTGCAGTCGCCAGCAAGCATGCCTTGGGCACCTGTGCGCCGAGCAGCTGGCGCCGATGGTGGCGTCCGCGCTGGTGTAGGTGCTGGCGCCCGTACTGGCATCTGTGCTGCCGTCGGCGCTGGTGTAGGCGCTTGCGCTGTTGCTGGTGCTGGCGCAGGCGCCGGCGTTGATGCTGACGTGGGTGTTGGCGTCGGCGCTGGAGAAGGCGCCGCCGAGCGCTCTTGGGACACCCGCGCGCCGGGCAGCTCACCGTTCGGTGTGCTGGCGTCGGCGGTGGCGTCGGCGCTGGTGTAGGCGCTGGCGCTCGTGCTGGAGTCGGTGCTGGCGTCGGCGCTGGTGTAGGCGCTTGCGGTGCAGGATCCGGACGCGGAGTGCAGCGTGCTGGACGGTGGACCGGCCCTGCCGCGCGCTGGATACCCGGCGTGTTCCACAATGCACCTGCCCCCCTTTGAGGTCGTGGGGTGCAGCGTGCTGGAGTCCATCGTGACGCCTCACTCGAAGTGCCCCCAGCCATGCTGCATGGGGTCATCGTCAGGGCGTCGATGTAGATGTCAGTACTGTTAGTCTGGGGAGGCTTCGGCGTTCTCGTCGGTGCTGGTGTAGACAGTTCTGTAAGCGCCAGGGCTGGTGTCGGCATCGATGCTGGCGATGCTATCAACCTCCCATCGAGAGATCGGGGGGCCGTGTTTCGAAAAAATCGAGACGCAGGAGTCCCAGGGAAGGAGGAGGCGGCGGCGATGCAGCCTGGGGTCTTCTCGCAGGTCCCGCCAGGCAGCCCGCAAGCTCGCGGAGTGGGGCTGCAGCAGCGAGTGCCGCTCCGCGGTGGCCGGGGAGGGGGAGGAAGGAGGAAGAGGGAGAAGGAGCGAGGAAGGGGGAGGAGGGGGGGGAGACGGAGGACTAAGCTTCGCCACCAGGCCCAGCCCACCACTCCTGTATGAACAGCCAGCCACAAGCGGTGAAGCGGTGTCCCTCACACCCCTGGGAGGTCCCATCGTAGCAACGATCCCTGGAGAGGGGGGCCCCCCCCGGCCGCCATCGATCGATCCGTTGGCGCGCCCGGGGCCCGAAACAGGGCGGGAGCACTTGGTGCGGACAAAGATGCGACGCCTGGATCTCGGGGCCCCGGACCTCCGACGTCGTGAGGGACTTGTTCGCAACGTGGACCTCCGTGGTCCAGAGTCTGGAGCACCTCCCCAGGACGGGCCTTTCATCCTGAGCCGTTTCTCGACGGCCCTGGGGCTGGGCAAGGGCCCAGGGAATCCGAGCATTGCCCAAAACACTCCGTCGGTTGTTTTCGTGCTCTGGCTGCAGGCGGTCTAGATTGCGGTCGGTCTGTGTTGCGGGGCATCTGTGGGGAGGCCTCCCAAATAGGGTCTGGGTTGACAGAGTCGGAGGATCGCGCTGCACTGCAAATGCATCGCCGATCTACCTGCGAGGCATCCGCGAAGTCTGCGATGCGTCGGCGCCGTCGGCGTGGAAAGTATCGGGCTTCACATCGAGCCGCATCGCCGATGCATCAACGATGCGGCGGAATCCACCGACACACGTCATAAATGAAATAAAACAGCTACATAAACATGAAGTTTCGAAGATCCGTGCGCATCTCGATAGGCGCTGTACCCCCCTCCCGCGTTAGGGGCGGCACCAGAGGCGCTGGCGGGAAGGCCCTGCGCCGATCCGCGACATCCGCGCGGAGCCCCGAAAGCTCATGCCTGTGCGATGCCCCGAAATCTGTTCCATTGGGGAGGCCCGGAGACTGCGCGACCTTCGCCAGCACCGAGGCCGCGGAGATGCAGGGCACGCGGCCGTCACCCTCGATCACGTTCTCCACGAGCCTCGGCCTCCACGGGCTGTCGGCGCCTGCTGGCGGCGAGGGCAGAGCCGAGGGGCGGCGGGGCGCAGAGGAAGGGGGGGACCCACACCGGAGGGGCCATGCCTATGATCAGGACCAGGCACGGAAACCTCGATGTCGAACTTTGTCATCGTCTGCCGACAACTCGTGGATCCTCCTCGCGAATCGGCGACGCCCGGCATGGACCGTGAGCGAGATCGGCGACGATCAGATCTCGCGAAAGCTTGGACATGGTCTTCGTGCTTCTCTCCTCGGCATACCTCCTCGCGTCGCGCAACAAAATCACAATGGACGTGCCGATGCACGAGCTTTCTTTGGAGACCCAAAGGGGGCAGCGGCCTGTCCATCCCTTCCCGTCCCTGTCCCACTGGCGCCGGATGTCTTGGAGCGAATCGAACAGAACCGTGCACAAGCACGTGCTAAACGGGCCGCTAGACTTCAGCAAGCGAGGCAGGCTCGCCTGCGTGAGGCGGCCCCTTGGACCCTTGATCCTGACTTTGGCATTGTTCGGGTGAGATCGCTCCCTGTCGGGAGATTGAGCGGTGTTCCTGCACTACTAGGAGGATGGAGGTGGGTGGAGGGGTGGAGGTGCAGAATTGCAAGCTTATGTCGAATTCCGTACAGCCTCTCTCAATCACCTCTCTCCGTGCTCGCTCGCTCTTTGGTATCATGCACCCCGGGGCTTGCTCGCCCTTTGCCTGCTCGCTCCTTTGCCTTCTCTCTGTGCATGCAGCCTGTCTTTGCACGGGGGTGACCCGCACTGTGTCGTGTCGTCGTCGTCCTGCCTTCCACTTCGACGGCATGGTGAGTCAGGACCGCTGCTGCTGCCGCTCCCTTTTTGCATGTTTCTCGAGGCAGCCCCCGCGCATTGGGGGCCCGCGTGGCACTTTTGACTCGCATGGCCGTTTTAACCCGCATGGCCGTTTTGACCCGCATGGCCATTTTGCCCCGCATGGCCGTTTTAACCCGCATGGCCGTTCGCAAGCGGCCTCTCGCAACCGTCTAGAGCCCTGGGATGGCCGTTGCCGTTAGGAACACCAGAGGATACCATTCTTGAGTGGAGGTGGTCGGGACTGAGATTCGCACTGCGGCGGTGGTGCGGGCGCAGGCTGCAGGTTGAGCGTGCGAAAATCGAGCACTCCCTTTGGCCCCTGCCTATCACCCGCCCGCTCAGCTGCCTTTTGGCCCTTCGCAGGCCATCTCACCTGTCCCCCTCTCAGATTAACCTCCCTTCGCCTTTTCCCTCCTCCTACTGCGTTGTGACGCGCATTGAGGGCCTTCCGACGATAGGGCGGGGAGTGGTATGGGTTAGGCATCTGTTGGCGGGGATGAGGTTCGCACTGCGGCGTCGGTGCAGGCAAGGGCCGCAGGTCGAGCGTGCGAAAATCGTGCGCTCCCGCTGGCCTTTGCCTCGCACCCGCCCACTCGGCTGCCTTTTCGGCCCTTCGCAGGCCATCTCACCTGCTCCCCTCCTCCTTGATTCGCCTCCCTTCGCCGTTTCCCTCCTCCTGCTGCGTTGTGATACGCCTTGAGCGCCTTCCGACGATATGGGGGTGGTATGGGCTAGGTTGGGAGGAGCAATTACACCTTGGCGCCCCTGTCGCTAGATACCGCGTGTTTCTGCCAGCAGCTAGCGAGTGCCGCACCAAGCTGACCGCCCCCTCGGCGAACCAGGACGCAACTCTAAAATTCCGTCAACTCTCATGGGCATCGTTTCTGGATGGGATGGTGGGATATTATTTTTGGTCGCGGCCGCGAGCGAAGAGCGCAGGCGGCGAACAGGGTGTCCGGGCCGACGGGCAAACCTAATTAGCTGCAGGGCGCAGCGCGAGCCAGCCGGGCCAGCTCACAAAAGCTGCAGTTGCGGCAGCGGCGGCGGGGGGCTGGCTTGCTGAACTGCAACGCCCAGGGAAACTCGGGCATCGTGCAGCCCTGTGGCAAAATGCCAGGGAATTCTGTGTTACGCGCTGCGGCGTCTGTTCACCACGGTGAAGGTGCTTGTCGGGCCAGGTAAAAATAACCTGCACGTACAATCCTCACAGACACTGCGGTGGGGAAAGGCTAAGTACACGCTGGTCAAGTCGCCAGTGGGCGCCAAGGGCCAGGGCCGTGTCGAGGGCGTAGACCTAACAGGTCGGCTGGGACGGAACGAGGATGGAAGCACAGCGTCCGACGGAAGGCTGGACCACTCCGAGACGCCAATACTGGTGGGGATACGCGAAGAATCAAGAATGTCAAGCGAGGATCGAAGCTCGAACGAACGGACGAACCACCTCAGCGGACGTCAGTGAGGGTCTGAAGACCAGGTGGATGAGGGCTTTAAGACCAGGTGGACGAGACCATGATAGGACCCCTGGCCATGCAATTCAAATCCAGGCAACGCAATGGTCACTCATGAAATTGACGACGGCGCGTGTGATGATAGCGGTGATGGTGGCGATGATGAGCACTCAACACACTGCAATGCGAACCGCGAACATGCAACGCAAAGCAAGGCAAAGCAAATCGAACGAAACGCGTGGCCCAAACAATAACAAACAACGGCGCGCCCTGGCAGCCCCGCGGCTTCCCTTTGCGTGGAGAAGTGCGTGGAGATGGTACAACTGGATAGAACTGGTCATTGAACCGGTCACAGGACTGGTCCTTTTAAGATAGGGTCAGGCATTCAACCTGTTGTTCCAAATGAGAGAAAATTTAAATTTCCGAACTATTTGTTTAGCATATCGACCAGTTCTATGCTGGAACGTATGTTTGATGGACCAATTATATGACCAGTTCTATCCAGCTGAATCAGTCCCACAACGAAGCAATACCACAAAAACGAAACAACGAAACTCGTCTTACCCAGTCGTAGGGTTAGGTCGGGCATGTCCTCCTACAGGCGGATTTTGGATGAAAAATTAAAACTACCCTAAACAATATTCCATAGAACCTCAAAACTAGTCAGAAAATCGTCCCCAGACTATTGTTTGATCATTTTTGAATAGTCCTCCAAAAAGGGGGACAGGCCCGACTGAACACTAGAGGTCGAATCCCGTCAAACTCGAGCGAGACACGGAGCGTCTGCACGAGAAGTCGCGCGGTCATCCCCCTGCGTGCTGCAGAGAAGAGCTGCGCCCTTGCCCGACCGCGACCCGACCGCGGCGCGACGCGACGCGCCGCCGAGCCGGGCGACGGGCCCCGCCCCTCCGCCGCGCTCCTCCCGCCTCCACACCTGCCCCCCCCACTCCAAGTCCCCCCTCTTTCTCCTCCTCCTCCTCCTCCTCCTCCTCCTCCTCCTCCTCCTCCTCCTCCTCCTCCTCCTCCTCCTCCTCCTCCTCCCCCTCTGCTCCGTCCCCTGCCCATGCTGCACCCTCCTCCCCGACGGGTGCTCCCTCGCCCGTCCTCGCCTGCGCCACAGGGCCCAGGAGGACGAGGAGGAGGAGGAGGAGGAGGAGGAGGAGGAGGAGGAGGAGGAGGAGGAGGAGGAGGAGGAGGAGGAGGAGGAGGTGTAGGGGAAAAAACGACCGTCTCCATTTCCGCAATCGGGCGTCGGGGATCTTCTTACCCGGGTCAATCCAGACCCGGGTCAGCAGGGAACCAAAAAACTGAAGTGCAGGACAAAAAAACTGCAACGCAGGTCTTCGCAAACCCGGGTCAGCCAATATGCGCGGCCGCCTCGCGGCTCGCTAACCCGGGTCAGCCAGAGGGGGTCTTCGCAGGATCCTGCAAATCTGGTGCCCTGGCTGACCCCTGTTTGCACTGACCCCCGTCTCCTAGGCCCCGAAAGCGTTGCCTCAGGTTTTCTCCGGCCGCAAGACGATCGACCGAAGCTGCGTGACCCTGGAGGAATCTAGAGAACGCGTTGTCGAAGACAAGGCGCGCGAATAAGGTTGAAACTAAAAAGGATATGAATCACGGAACACCTGGCGGCTACCAAGGCCTCAAGGGTTCTTGCCTGTTTGTGAAAGAAGCCGGTGGGTGCGGTGTCCAGGGGCGCTCCTCGGGGATGCTAAGGGTCGCCCAATGTTGTCCGGGGTTGCCCAAGGATGCTCGGGGTTTCCCCGGGGTTGCACAGGGTTGCCAAGCAATGGCAAGCAACGCGACCCAATGCCAAGGAACGCCACACAACGCCACGCAATGCCAAGCAATGCCAAGCAACGCTCAGCAAAGCCCAGCAATTCCGAGAAGAGATTTAGAGCAAGGCTGGTCAACGCCAAACAACGCCAAGCAGTTCCGAGCAATGCCAAGCAACGCCAAACAATGCGTTACATTGGACTGCTTTGCGTTGCTTCGAACTGCTTTGAATTGGTTTGGGAGACGGAAGACCCCCATCAGGGGCGCGCCGGGTTCATTTTGTTGAGCCGCCGGATGTGTGGGCCCCCCCTCCTCTGATTCACTTTGGAAATGTCGCGGCACCGACCTTGCAGACGTGCTGCAGCGGATTTTTCGTGTGGATCTCTGTCAACGCAAAACCCCGAAACAGCGAACGAAAAACTAAGTTAATTCCACGTGGATGGATTCAAAGTCTTCATTCCTGGCCAACAAAATCCGCACGAAGTTCACCTCGACTCCTGAGCGACATTCTCCAGGACACTCCGGGTCCATCCTATCGTTTTCAGAACGAAATCCACTGTGCAATGTTGGCGCCATGAGAAACGGGTCCTGGTGGACGAGGGTCCCTGGGCCCTGGGGCTCCCCTTGGAACCCAATTTTCCTCCTGACTCGCTTTTGCTGCGGTCCTGGGGCTCAGGAAGGGCCCTGGGCGCCGGAGGATAACGAAAAACCTCGAGGACCTCTTTCCGCTTGGGCGCGTCTTCCGAATCCCCAAACCCCTCCAGGGATGCGTTTGGACCAGAATTTCGCCAGGGATCCAGCCGTTACGAAGATGCAGAAAACGTCGAAAGCACATGGAATCTCAACTTCTCGGCTTCCTTGTCCTCGCATGCACCCTCTGATATGAAAGAAAAGAGGCCCTGAGGGAAACGGGTCCTGGACCAAGGGGGCTTCCCCCAGGACCAATTCTTCATCCCGACTCGTTTTCTGGCAGTCCCAGGGCCTGTGGAGGGCCCACGGGGGCTGAAAACAGCGAAAGAATCTCCAGAACCTGTTTCCCTCAGGATTGGTTCTGGGCGCAGGGGGTCTTTCGTGAAGGGATCGCAACAGCACATGCAATAGCTCATGTGGCGCAGGGCGGGTGGCAGCCACGTGCTGATATTGAACGACGTGCGTATCCCGAGCATAGCAGGAACTATTGCGTACATGGTCGAGACCCTCTTTGCAAAGGACCCATTCGCCCAAATCCGACAGGACCTGTTGCCCTCACGCCAGTGCCGACCCGAGTGGAAGACGCTCTTCCGTTGGTCGCCGTCGTCGTCGTGGCGTCTCCGTCGTCTCCTCGTCGTCTCCGTCTCCGTCGTCTCCGTCGTCTCCGTCGTCGTCTCCGTCAATCGTCCTCCGTTGTCCCCCCATCTTCTTTCCCTGGGCCCTCCGTCGTCGTGTCGTCTCCGTCGTCTCTTCATTGTCTTCATCGTCGTCTGCGTCTCTGTCGTCTCCGTCGTCGTCTCCGTCAATCGTCCTCTCCGTCGTCCCCCGTCTCCTTTCCCTGGGCCCTCCTCCTTAAGCGCGCCAGCCATACCGACATTGAGCAACGTCGTAGCTGAGGCGAAGGGAAGCCCCTCCCCTTTGATCCCCTCCCCCCCGCTGGGGGGGTGGTCCTGGGGTGGGGTCACAGGGGGGGGGTCCCAGGGGGGAAGGGGTCGCCCCCAGATCACATCCCCCCCGGGCGGTTCTGAGGCCTAGAGAAGCCTCACGACGCGGCAAGAGTGCCCCAAGAGGCCCCCAAGACGGTCCGTGAGGGCCCCGAATCGCCGAATTATCTATCCAAGACGCCAAAATAGCCTCCAGGCGGCTCAAGAGCTTTTCAAACGCCCCAGGAAGCCTCCAAGAAAGAGCCCAAGAGGGCCCCCAGGGGCAAACATCTGAGATGTCCTTGTAGTTTTTGAAAGAATTTGGCGTTCTCGTCTTGTCGGCTTCCCGACGTTCCAAGACAGCCCAAGAGACCACCAAAATCGCCAAAGGGGCCTCCAAGAGGGCCCCAAAACGACCGAAGAGGGTCCCAAGACCGCCCAAGAGTCCTCCAAGACAGCCCAAGAGGCCCCCAAGACGGCTCCAAGAGAGAGCCCAGACGGGGGACCCGAACGGACACTTTGAGCCCTCAGCCTGAGAGGCTCCCAGGAGGCCCCCAGATGCCCCAAAAAAGAACCCCAAGAGACCCTAACCCCAACAGGCCGCCAAGAGGCTCCTAAGAGGCCCCCTAGAGCCTTCCAAGAGGCACCAAAACTACCCCCAAGAGGCCCCCGAGAGTCATCGTCGTCGTCGACGTCGTCGTCGTCGTCGTCGTCGTCGTCGACGTCGTCGTCGTCGTCGTGATCGTCGTCGTCATCGTCGTCGTCGTCATCGTCGTCTTCGTCATCGTCGTCGTCGTCGTCGTCCTCGTGATCGTCGGTGTCGTCGTCGTCGTCGCCGCCGCCGCCGCCGCCGTCGTCGTCATCGTCGTCGTCGTCGTCGTCGTCGTCGTCGTCGTCGTCGTCATCGTCGTCGTCATCGTTGTCGTCGTCGCCGTCGTCGTCGCCGTCGTCTTTCAGGGTCGGCGGCACCGGCCGTAAGGCCTCTTCAATCCGACAGGACCTGTTTCCTTTGCGCCAGTCCAGAAAAGTAAGCCCACGGACCTTTCTTGGGGTGCGTTCTGGCGAGCATGTGGTGGTGAACCCAGCCATGGGGCGATGGGGAACCTCCTGGAGACCCCGCAGGGAGGAAGAACATAACATAGATAAGCCTTACACGTCAGACAGAAGAAGTAGGTAGAAACATGGAGCAGAAAGGCGGCTAAAGTAGATTGGGTTCGTGCCCGCCCCAAGAGCAGCAAAAATTGCAAACACATGTCGACTCTTGAAATCGGAAGGCGCTTGACATACATTGGGATCTAGAAACCCAGAAATACCTCCGACCCCCGGCGTGCAAAAGAAAACCCGAACGGACGACGACCCCGTTTCCTGCAATGCTGACCCTGCCTCTTCCGCGCCCTGTGCTTCCGTCCGCCAGAACCCCCCTTGGCCTCTGCTGCCGAGCTTGACGGGCGAGGGCGCGCGAGAGGACACGAGACTCTTCCGAAGCCCCGGCCCCGGACCCCGGACTGCAGAGGGGCATGAGGCAAGCGACGCGCCAGGACACACCGCGGGCGCCCTTGGCTCGGCAGGGCTGCCCTGCGAACGTTGACAGAGGGAGACGGGTCCCCAGGGAAACGAGCCCTGGGCCCCAGGGGTCTTCACCAGGACCAGCTTCCCAACCCGAGTGGTGCTCTGACGGTCCTGGGGCCTTGCGCTCGGCGGCGACATCCGAGCCCTACCCCCGCCAACCATCAATTCTCCTGAATCGATGGGCGGCGGGGGCAGGGTTCGGAATTCCCCACGTGCCCGACCAATTCCGAACCCGACCCCAGCCGCCCATCGAATTACCCGAACTGTTGATCGGCTGGGGTAGGGCTCGGATTTCGCCGCCGACTGGGCCCGAAAGCAAAAAAAAACCTCAGGACCCGGCCCCCTCAGGAACCGTCACCTTCATGACGACATTCAACCTCGGCTGCACCCCGCTTGGGGGGGGGGCTGCCGCCGGAGGCCTTCGCCAGAAAGCCCCGCTGGCCGCGGAGCCGCCTCCCGCGACCCGCAGGAGGGGGAGAGGAGAGGGGAGTGGAAGCCACCAGCGTCGAACCTATGGCGCGCTCCAACAAAGGAAAGCAAAACCAAGACCAAGACAAAAATAGACCGGGGTCGATCGGAGAACTCTGAGATCTGACGCTTCTCGAAGATGTAAGTATCGAGCGCCGCGGCCGTTCCACTCCAGAAAACTCGGCGACCGTTCCGGCGGGCACAGTTCCTTCCGCGGCAATTCTTGCATGTCTTACGAAGCGTCGAAGCGTGAAGTGCTGGGCGCGCAGGCCCGCCTGCTACGCCCCCTGACGAGCATCCAAGTTGAACCAAGCATCACCGCGGCCGTCGCCATCGTCACCGCCAAAACCACAAGAGACCACATGTTACAATCATCGTTGCGCTGAGTGCACGTCAGCCCGCGTCGCCGCACATCGACTCTCTGCCACAGCCGAGTGCTACGAGCTCCCAGCAGCATTCGTCGACAGCTGTCAAAAACAACGCCGAAAAGGTCCTTGAAAGGGCCGCCAAGGGGGCCGCCGAAAGGGCCACCGAAATCGTCGCCGAAATCGCCGACGAAATTACCGCCGAAATCGCCGCCGAAATCACAGCCGAAATCGCCGCCGAAATGTCCGCCGAACTTGCCGTCGAAATTGCCGCCGTAATTGACTCCGAAATTGCCGTCTACGTAATTGCGAACTCCGCCGAAGTATCCGCCGAATTCAGCCGCCGTTATCGCCGCCGAAATTCAGCCGCCGACATTTCATTGCCCTGTCCCAAGCGAATCATTGTTTGATTAAACACGATGGCGCCGTGGACACAGGCATAGAGCCACAGCCAAGGTCAAAATCGATTTCTTTTTGGCGGCACAATCCGAAACTTTTGCGGAAATTCCAGGGGCAACTTCGGCGGCGAATTTGATGGGAATTTCGGCGGCGATTTCGGCGGCGATTTCGGCGGCAATTTCGGCGGCACTTCCGGCGGCCCGTTCGAAAACTCTTTCGGCGGCCATTAGGCGGCAATTTTGGCGGCCCTTTCGACAACTCTTTCGACGGCGTTGGTTTTGCCAACTGTCGACGATGGCTGCCGGGAGCTCTCGGCACTCGGCGGCCCCGGCGGGCCCTGAGAGGGCCAGCGACGGGCCTCGCCAGAAAGCGTCTGCGAAGTAGCTCAAGCCACGCATGATTGGTACGCGATAGCATGCGCAACGTGCAAAGAGAATGCCTCGCATTATGCGCCAGCACGCTCTAAGATGTGCCGGGAAACCACCGCGCGGCAGGGCGTGCCTGCACAATGAGACCCTCCCAAAAACCTCAATTTCGTTTGGAATGGATTCGGCGCGTGCCCTTTTTCGTCTTCAAAGAAAGAGCCGCTACGATTGAAAGGAACTCCGCGGAAAGCCGGCGGAAGCCGCCGCCCTATTTCTTCCTCTAGCTTCCGCTGGCCTTCCTCGGAGGATGTGCAGCCGAAGGCGAGGCCCTGTCTGCACGGAACGCGCCACATCACGACGGACAGAGTGAGGACGCTTTTTCACGACGGACGGAGTGAGAACGTTTTTTTCAACCCCCTGGGGGCCCTCACCGGGTCCGCTGCCGTCCAAAGACGACTCAGGATGAAAAGCTGGTCCCCGGGGAAGGATTGTGGCAAAAACGCGGCGTCGGATGTTGGGATCCATGCCCCCGCGGTCTGGGATACAGACCTGTGGTCAGCTGGAAACGCGATTTCGCGGCAACGTTCCGCACGGGGTATCCGCACAAAGCCGCTTTGTATCCGTCGCGTCGCGGCGCAGAAGTCCTGGCAGCGAGGCCGTGGGTATGTTGGGAAGGAATGGCTATGGAGAGTGCTTCCTCAATGGTGAAGGGATGGAAAGCATGAAATCAACGGGTCCTGGAAGAGGGGGGAGAGAGGGGTCCTGGAGGTGTCTTCCCTTTTCCGGACTCGTGGGGCCCTCCACTGGCCCCGAGACCGACAAACAACGCTTCTGGGGAAAGCCCTCTAGGGGTCTACGTAGAAACCGTTTCCCTGAAGAGCCCTTTCCCTTCATGGCGAGATGAAACTCGGAACGAGGGTGCGAAACTCCTTCACGGCAGCCTCGTGCAGAACCGGATCCCTACGTACGCACCCTCGGCTATGGCACGCCCGACCCGGGTACGGAAAAATGGGCACGATGCCCATCACAAAAGCGGTCCAAAGCCGACAGCGGCCGCTGCTGGGCAGGCGACTTTGTGGTGGACGAGGTCTGCGTCGACGCAGGCCGCGAATCCTGCTTCCAGATGGGCAGCATTGTTGTCGGCCTTCCTTCCCTTTCTTTCTTTCCGATGGTTTTTTTTTAACCCCGGAGCAAGAACAATGCGTATTTCTTGGAATTCTGGAATTTACTTCCGCTGTCGGACACGCCGCCGTTCCGCCAGCCCCCGCCGCCTTCCGCCGGAGAAGAGACGTCAACTCCACATCGATCCCTCGAAGAGGAGAGCCTTCTTGGAGCGCCCCATCCACTGCGTACCCATTTGAGTCGTGCCCATCGGCCACCGGCCGGAGCTGCATCGGGCACTGGCAGACACCTCACCTGCAACGGGAGCTGCGCGGCAAGGAAAACGTGGGGGGCAAAGCATATGTCTTTTGCCGCCGGGCCGCCAGAATGAAGGGAACGGCTGAGGAAAGGGCCTCCTCCTCCCCATCCTCCTCCTGCAGTGTTTTTCTTTATAAATGAATTCTCCCTGTCGCACCCCGAAGCCAGTTTGCAGGGCGGGCCGGGCGTTTCGCCTGAGACTTCCTCACCATGTATGACTCTGAAGCTTAAAACTTGGCAACAGTTTGACACATGGAGGGCGAGTCGTTTTCAAAGTGTGGCTCTCGCCTTAGCGCGGCGCGCATTCATTCAAATTCAAAACAAATTCACGGATTGAGGGCGGGTCGTTTTCTAAAGTGGCTCTCGCCTTAGCGCGGCGCGCATTCGTTTGATAAATCTGCAAGGGCTTCACGGATTGAGGGCGGGTCGTTCTCTAAATGTGGCTCTCGCCTTGGCGCGGCGCGCATTCGCTGTAAAATGTTGCAAGAACTTCACAGATTGAGGGCGGGTGGTTTTCAAAATGTAGCTCTCGCCTTAGCGTGGCGCACATTCGTTTAAAATATGCAAGAGTGTCACGGACGAATGGCGGTTCCTTTTCAAAATATGGCTCTCGCCTCAGATTCGTTTAACACATTTGCAAGGATTCCACGGATTCCCATCATCAACGTGCCACAAGTAATGGTTTGAAAGGATTCTGGATTATGCTGGCGCAACAATTCTGTTGATTACCTGTGCTGAAGTCCCAGCAATGGCTTTCTGGCACCATTGAGGATGGTCAAGACGCAACAATCAGGTTGAACCGTGGCGTTGGAATCCCGTGGACAATGTTTTGGCATGCGTCAGGGCCTTCAAACGGATGACTTCCAAAAAAGCAGATCCTTCACTGGAAATGAACTGTTGTAGGGGCCTGCGAAGAGGGAGCTTGGAAGGAGGGTGTATTCCAACATCGTTGCTGCCTCTTGGATTTACACTGGTCCTCTTCCTCCTCATCATCATCATCCTTCCTTGTCCTCCTCCTCCGAAGTGCCGCAAACATGTCGTCCAGTTTGAATTCCCTGGGCCCTCCCAGCCTCGTAAAGGATGTTCTGGATATTACGCGAGCCTCTCGGAAGAAAACTAAGGCCACCTTGGTAACCTGTGGCAAAGACTGGCTCCTCCTACTCATCATCCTGAATTATCCTGCTGTTCCTCCTCCGCTGCTTTCGCCTCCTCATCCTGCCAAGTCGTCTCGGAGCCCCGAAGACCTAGAAAGGAGGGTTGGTTAAAGTTGCATTGTTTTGTTAGACCTCCAGGCGCTAACAGGCGACATAGGAAACCCTTGAAAACAACCCATGATTGGGAGCCACAAGATACCCGCGACGAGAAAACGGTCCAGGGAACATGGCCGAGGACGAAGGCTCCGTGGTCCATGCCTCGCACAAATACTGACGCCAGAGGTCTGCAGGTGAATGGAGGTTGGCGTCGACTTTCGCTGCAAAGAGCGCTCCGCGCTCCTATCAGCGCCATCGAAGGATGTCGCAGCGGGAAATGATGGGCGGGAGGACGGGACGGGAAAGAGGAGAGAGGAAGGGGAAGGGAGAAGAGAGAACGAGAGGGGAGGGAAAATGTGAAGAGGGGGGAGGGGCTGAAGGGAAAGAATAGAGGAGAGAGGAGAAGAGAGGGGCAAGCTGATCGCGCCAACGCCGCGTCTGAAATCCTACCCGTCCCGCCTCTCCGTTCCCAATATGAACATTCCTGCCATGTTCGTCGAGCCGGCTGTTTCGAATGTAACCTTGACTCTTGGCTGGCATGTGCAGAGCTTGACCCGTCGCCGACTGACTCTATACGATGGGAGAGAAAGAGAGAGAGAGAGAGAGGCGACGCCTAAGCGGACAGACGTCGGAAACGACCGATCGGCGCCATAAGCGAAACAGGCCAACTTGGCAAGACATGGCATTTCAGGACGACGGAAAGGAGAGAAAAAAGGGGTAGGAAGAGAACGACCACGACGAAGTGGGGAGAACGGAAGGATAAGAACAAGGTTAAATAATAGGTTGCGTAACAGGGTGGGTGGGGAGGGGCTGACCTTGGGACGCTGGGACGACGTACGCGCATATCGAACTAATGCCGCGGTGCCAGGTGGACCTCTAGACGACCCCAAGATGGCTGCCAGAGTCTCCGTCCTCCTCCTCCTCCTCCTCCTCCTCCTTCTCGTCATCGTCCTCTTCCTCCTCGCCCTCACTCCTCGTCCTCGTCCTCCTTCTCGTCCTCGTCCTCCTCCACGTTCTCGTCCTCGCCCTGGGTCCGATCAGGCTGAATGAGAACTTGTTTCACTGCACGCTTCGACAGTGTCCTGGTCAAGGCAACTCGCCTGGGCATCATTTCTGCACGGGCTGGTGGGGATACGCGCGCCAAGAATAGTACTCGTCGCAAGTGGTACGAACGGAGACGGTATTCTCCTCACGTCTCTGCTCATAACCCCCCCATTCCCAACCAGATCCTCCTGATCATCCCGCTCCTACTACTCCAAGTTGCTGCTGCTGCTGCTGGTCCTCCTCATCCGCGTCATGTTCCTGGCTGATGCTGCTCGTCCTGCTCTACCCCACCGCTTCTATCTTCCTCATCATCCTCGTCCTCGTCGTCATCATCACCACCATCATCAACATCACCGTGCCATATCACCATCACCGCTTTCCCCATCTCGTCCTGCTGCTCATCCTCCTGATCCTGCTAATCGTCCTGCTCCTCTTCCTCAGCCATCTTCCTCACTCCTCCATAGTCATCTTTTCCTTGGCCTGCTGTGCTTGATCCTCCTCCTCCCCCTCTTCCTCCTCCTCCTCCTCCAGATCCTCCTCCTCCTCATCAGCATCAGCATCAGCATCAGCATCAGCATCAGCATCAGCATCAGCATCATCATCATCATCATCATCATCATCATCATCATCATCATCATCATCATCATCATCATCATCATATCATCATCATCATCATCAGCATTATTATCATCATCATCATCAGGATCACCATCTCCATCAGCAGCAGCAGCCGCATCAGCATCAGCAGCATCATCATCATCAGCAGCATCAGCATCAGCATCAGCATCAGCATCAGCATCATCATCATCAGCAGCAGCAGCATCACCATCTCCATCAGCAGCATCAGCATCAGCATCAGCATCAGCATCAGCATCAGCATCAGCATCATCATCATCATCATCATCATCATCATCAGCATCAGCATCAGCATCAGCATCAGCATCAGCATCAGCATCATCATCAGCATCACCATCTCCATCAGCAGCATCAGCATCAGCATCAGCATCAGCATCAGCATCAGCATCAGCAGCATCATCGTCATCGTCATCGTCATCATCATCATCATCATCATCATCATCATCATCATAATCATCATCATCATCGTCATCATCATCATCAGGTTCATCAACATCATCATCATCATCATCATCATCATCATCATCATCATCATCATCATCATCATCCTCTCCTGCTGCTCCTGCTCCTGCTCCCGATCGTCCTGCTGCTCCTCCTACTCCTCCTCCTCCTCGTCCTCGTCCTCGTCCTCCACCTCCTCGTCATCATCGCCCTTCCCCCATGTAATCCCATCCACTTGGCAGCCCCTCCTTGAAAAAGCTGCCCAGCCTCTGCTGCTTCGCGTCCGCCCTCGCCATCTCCGAGGCCTCGGGGGCGGCCCGGCGGCCCAGGGGGCGCTCGCAGGGGATGACCGCACGACGGCGGGGACGGAAGGAGGAACGGGGGTTCAAGTCCAAGGAATGGCGTTCTGGCACGATTCGGGATCGTCAGAACGGAACAGTCAAGTTGACAGTTGATCCGTGGCGTTGGAAATCCGAGAACAACGTTTTGGCATGCTTCAATGTCTTCGAACGGTTGTCTTCCAACGAGGCAGTTCCCTCAGTGGAAATGAACCGTTGTAGGGGCACTGTGAAGAGGGAGTTTGGAGAGAGGGTTTATCTCCCGATTTCCCGTTGGCCGAGCACGCGCCTACGGCCGGCCCGGCAGTCCACTGCGGAGCGCCCGCGCGCGCGGGCACGCCAGGCGGGGCGCCGAGGTCGATGTGACCATGCGCTCTGCGCCAGTCCAAGCCGCGCAGGCCAGGGTCTCGCCGAGGGCATCGGCGGCCTTGAGCTCCAAGGCGAGGTCCCAGGCGAGCTCCTCGGCGCCGCGCTGCTCACCGTCGCTGGCCCAGCTCAGGCCCCACTGGGCGAAGAGGCGTGCGCGCCCGCCCGCCCGCGGCCGGTGCCGGGGCGGACCGCCCTCGCCACCCGGCTTTGGCAGCAGCAACCTCGCGACCTCGGCAAGGTCCTGGGGCCGACGCCCGCTGGCCACCGCCCCTGGCGGCGCCCCCAGCAGCAGGGCGGCCCAGAGGAAGCCCACACGCACAAGCGCTGACAAGAGCCCCCAGAGGAGGCGCAGCACCTCGGCGAGAGCCGCAAGGCTTCAGGCTCCACACTACCAGAAGGCCTGAAGAGACATGCCGGGTGCAGCCATGAACTACGACTTCATTCGGCACGGGTGGAAGCGCTGAGACTGGAGTACAATGTGGTTTGTACGAGCTTATGCTCTCGTGATCAGCTTCTATCACAGGTGCGAAACACCAGAGCTTTCTCAAGAGGGCGCGCAAGATGCTCGCTGACTCCATGAGTACGCACGCCGACGATGACCAGTACGTAGCAGCATGTGTCGCACGATGACCAGTACGTAGCAGCATGCGTCGCACGAACGGAAGTCTTTCATGAATAACTGCAGCAAGCAGAAGAGCGACTTGAGCATTCCAGGGAGCTGAAGGAGGAAGAGCAGGCAGAACGCAGACATGCCGAGCAGAGTCCATGACGCAGTCTCGGAAGCCCTACGCCTCACACCACATGGATGAGCACACAGGTGATGACGAGTCTGATCAGACGCCGCTGAAACCTAGCCGCCCCTTTCGGCCGCGACGGCTCAGTCCGACATCGTCAAGCGCACCAGGGGTGGCAGCGCAGTCAGCTCACTCCCAGCCTTCGGAACTCAGCCGTTCAACACAGGCTCATCGGGGACGAGCACAGAGTCAGTCCCCCCTGGTTGCTTCCGGAACTCTCAGAAGATGATGATGGTGATAGTGATGATGATGCTGATGATGGTGGTAGTGGTGGTGGTGGTGATGGTGAAGATGATGATGCTGATGATGTTGATGATGCTGATGATGCTGATGATGCTGACAGTGAGTGATGATGCTGATGCTGATGCTGCTGCTGCTGCTGATGCTGATGCTGATGCTGATGATGATGATGATGATGATGATGATGATGATGATGATGATGATGATGATGATGATGCAACAGCTCAGCGCGTTCAGCAATGTCATGGCAAAAGTCCTGTGTCAAATCGCCAGCCTCGAGCAGGAGAGAGCGACGGATATCCCTAACTTCCACGAGCAGGTTCCGAGAGCAAGAAACAGCCCGTGACTCCAGAGCAGCAGGCGGCAGCCAAATGCAGATTCGCCACAGCCTTGGAGGCAAGTGCTACACGAAGCGGAACAAGATCCAAATCGCCGAGGCGTCCTAGCGGCCAGGCGCCCAGCAAACAGGACAAAGCTGGAGAAGGCGAAGCAGCAGACGCACATCATGAACGTGCTGATGATACCCCAGCCTGAGATGACGATGAGGATGATGCAGCACTGGTGCCACCAGACCAGGCAGCGCCGCCCAGCTTTTCCGCTAAACACTTTGCGTGAGATGCGGCCAGTTGGGGCGGCGTCATCGAATTCGCTCGGGCTCGCTCGGGTCCAATCTGTCCTCCCCTCTCCCCGATTGTCTGGTCTCCCACCGACTCCTGCGGATGAAGACACAGGGGAGTTCGAACGAGCTTGAGGAGCATGATCCATCGATCTCCAGTGGGATTCGTCTCCCGCCGATCCCCCCCCTGCAGCTCACTACCAGGGATCGTGGTTCTGGTGACAAGGGGCCTCTGCAGTTGCCTGCACTTTATGGGGAGCTGTTCCTGGACAGCAGCTCGGAGATGTGTTGTTCAACTATGTCAGGGTCCCCATTGGCCTCCAATAGACTACACGGCCAACCTCGCGGAGATGATCCAGGCAGAGCCAGATCGCATACAAGAGGGACTTGACATATGCTTGTTTGATGACGGGACCGCTGTGCTAGGAGAAGCCACAATGCTGTTGCGTACATCGCCCGGAGTTCCCGAGGTGGTAGCATCCAGTTTTGCACGGCGAGGGCTCCGACTTAACTTCGCCGAAGTAAAGACCGAAGTCTTGTTTCAGTTGCGAGGCCCAGGAGCTCGCACATCTAAGCAGAGACTTTGGCACGACCTGGAGGAGGGACAATCTCTCATCGACTCGCCCCTGCCACGACATTTTACACTGCACGCTGGTCGCCGATATCCGCACCTTGGCACGGATCTGGACGAGCTTGGTTCCATCGGCCCAGAGTCGGCCCATATAGGGAAGCATCGGCAGGCACCTCAGGACAGCTGTTACGACGACGTTCGCCTCAGACACTGGGTTGCCGAAGGCTGCGGCATTGCACCTGATAGATACACAAATCTTATCGGACCTACTCTCCAATGCAGGTACTTGGCCGACTCTCACGGATACGCAACACGAACACGTCCAGCGCATCATGGTCAACAAGTCCGCCGATCCGGCGCTTAGTTTAAAAGAGCGTATGCTTGAGCTCGCTTAAACTTCGCTCTGGGAAAGGAAGGGGGCTCTGTTTTCGGGGGGATCCTTGGTTTTGCTGTAGAGGGGTGTGTGTGCGCGTTCCCGTTTTCAAGGGGGGGAGGGCTCGATTCGCTTTGGAGGGGAAGGTGGGGTGTTCCGTTTTCGGGGGGGGGGGGCCTGGGTTCGCTTTGGAGGAAATGGAGGGGGGGTTGTTCCGTTTTCGGCGGGGGGCGGCCTGCTTCGCTCTGGGGAGAAATGTTCTTTTCCGTTTTCGTTTTCGGGGCGGGCGGGCTGGGTTTCGCTGTGGAGGGGAGGGCGGGGGGTTGTTGCGTTGTCGAAGGAAGGAGGGGAAGGGGTGGGGTTGTTCCGTTCCCGGGGGGGGGGAAGCGCTTGCTTCGCTCTGGGGGGGAGAGGATAGTGCCGGGGCCAGGGCTGGAGCCGAACGCGGGGCCGGGGCCGGCCGGGACTGAGGCTGGTGCCCAGGGCCGGGGCTTGGGGGGCTGGAGTCGGGGCCGGGGCTGAAACCCGGAGATGGCGTCTGGGGCCCGGGGCCAGAGCGGGCCCGGAACCCGGAGCCCGGAGCCAGGGGCTGGGGCCGGGGCTGCGGCGCGTTTGGAACCGGCAAGATGAGAGATAGGACGGAGAATGGAAGGGAATGGGGAGGGTGGATGGAGAGAAGAGGGAACGAGCGGAGGGTAGGGGGAGGAATAAGAAGAGGGTAAAGGAAGGGTCACATCCAGAGAACCCCAGCTCGGCGGCACTGGCCGTATCGTCCGCTGCTACGATGAAGCAGCAAGATGAGACAGCACCATCAGATGCTGTTGTTCTGGCACGCGTGCACCGCGCAAGGTTTACCACCACACTACGCATACACAGACTGCGAGTACTAGGCAGTCTTCTACACTATGGCGCACCTATGTTGCGCACCTTGGTGCCACATGTATTTCGCAAGGATCCACACTGCACGGACACTCATGGATGCATGCAGTTATCGACGACCTGTCCTCGCTAAGGCAGACCCACAATGCCTTCAACACAGTTTGTGCTCACTACCGGCCTGACGACGCACTCTCAACCACGCCATGGCAGCGGAGGCCAAGGCTAAAAGCAGAGAGGCGCTCGCCAAACATGTTGCCGAACAATTTGTAAGTTGTTCGAGCTAGTACGGCCTGCAGGGGCACCACGCCCTATTACTACAGATCCAGGGCACCCGCTCTTTCCGACTCCAGCTCCCACTCCCGACCTACAATGCATGTGATGCTCATACCCGAGGGGTACGGCTAAGAGTACACGTCAGCACATTGTGCGCACACACTACAGCATCGGAGGTTGGGGGATGAGATCGCAGAGGAACGGAGACCCCAACCTGAAAATCGTTTCGTTTCGTTCGTGTCGTGCGTGCGGTCGAGGCGAAGCTGCGTGGGCGCGCGAGAGGAATGAACCCGCCGTTGCTAGGACGACGTCAAAACAAATGATTCTCCCCCGCCCGCCCGGCGGTGGCTCGCGGTGTCCCGCGGTGTCCCGTGGTGTCCCGTGGTGTCCGCTGTTGCTAGGGCGAAGTCAAGACAAATGATTCTCCCCCGCCCGCCCGTCCGTCCGTCCGTCCGGCGGTGGCTCGCGGTGTCCCGCGGTGTCCCGTGGTGTCCCGTGGTGTCTCGTTGAGTGAGATCGATAGTTAGATCGATCGTGAGATCGATGTGGTGCCCCGAGGTGTCCATTGGTGTCCCAACAAGTGAAATCGATAGTGAGATCGATAATGAAATCGATAGGTGTCCCGTGGTTTCCCGTGGTGTCCCGTTGAGTGAGTTCGATCGTGAGATCGATAGTGAGATCGACAGGTATCCCGTGGTGTCCCAAATGAGATCGATGGTGAGATCGATAATGAGATCGATAGTGGGATCGATGTGGTGTCCCATGGTGTCCCGTGGTGTCCTATGGTGTCCCGTCGAGTGAGATCGAAAGTGAGACCGATAGTAAGATCGAGAGGTGTCCCGCGGTGTCCCA